AATAGATTTGTTAATATATAGATAAATAAATAAATAAATAGATGAATCGATATTTTTCGGTGAACAAAGAAGGCCAGCTTGTCTGCTCTTATGCTGCTCGAATTATCTATAAATACATAAACAACTCAATAATCAGATAAATATATATTTTAAATAAATAGATAAACAAATAGAAAATAAGCAAATAAATTAACACATGTCTGACAGATGTTAGTTGGTGAGAAGAGAAGAACACAGCAGGTCTGCTCTCACAAGATGGGTTTTCATCTCCTTCCTGATCAGCTCCCAGGCTTCAGCACTGTGGTCCTGCACACAGAAGAACATCATCATTATTAAAACATGTTGAATGTATAGATTCGATTAATTGATTGATACATAGGCGGACTTACCATTGGCTCCAGGACATGGCTTGACAGTCTCTTGAAATACATCTGTATCTTCTTGTGCTTCCTCTTGTGGCTGTGGCTCCCGATCTAAATGAATGAAAAAGTTATTATTTGATCATTTTCATCAACAGGATGTAAGTAAAAGAGACCTGATGCTTGAGCTTTTATGGAACAAGTAAGACATGTCAATCCACAGTGAGACTTACACAGGAGCGAAGGCCGTCAGCCACCTGGGTTACAACCTGGAGGAAGTTCTCCTCTCTTATCTCCTCCCATGATGCTTTGCTGTTGTCCTCTTCAAACAGGACCACCATCTCATCCAGAATCTGGACTGTGAAACTGAGTTTGTCCTCAGCCTGAAAGAAGATCAATCACAGGTTAAAAATAACAAACAACATGTTTCACTGAACATCATTTTTTCATAAAGGTATATCAGGACATGTGTTTTTATTTTAATATTTTTTCAAAAAGTTGAGGCTGACTTACTGATGCTTTGGACGCCTGGTTGTACAGATGGTTAGGGAAGCCCACTCCAGCATCCACAGTGGTGTTGGTGGTGTTGGTGGAGTTGTTAGCCTGCATCACACACAAACACACACATCATGAATTAAACAAACAATACAATACACTCATGATCATCAATCAATCATTGATTAATTTAAAGAACATTCAAAAGAGATGCACTTACCATGGTATCTATTAGATCCAAAGAGTTTTGACTGAACTGCTGGAATTTATGCTGCATCCATCTGCAGCTCAGAGAGGAGCCTGAAGTCCACAGACTGAGAGACAGGCACACGAAGAAGATCCCGTTGAGCATTTTTTTTAAAAAGGTATCGTTTGCTTTGGATGGAGATTAGTGATTTCTCTTGGTAGCTATAGTGGAAGTGATGAACCAGAGCTGCAGCACCTGATTTATACTGTATGCACCTATTTCATTTTCCTTTTACGCGGTCCTGAGAAATTCAACCTCAATAGGCTTTTAAAAAGGTATGACACGCACGCATTTCGGATTCTAATAAGTCCTCGTATCAATTAAGTAGTAACAAGTAAACATTTGTATTTACATCTGAAATGCCGCTCTTAATGTGAACACTGGGAGTCACATCGGGACTTTAACCCTAAACTTTCACAGTAAACGCGGAGTGACATGTGCACAATTAGAAATATTATTATGATCTGCTCAGTTAATTTAGCTGATTCAATTATATTGAGTTAATATATTCTTATTCTTCAATTCAAGGAATGTTCAAACTAATTTAAACCAAAAAAATCATCCTCATTAATTAAGTAAAAAATAAGAGTTATTTTACCATTAAAGCCCAACGTGACATAGGCTATAGATTACAGTATATGTCACATTTAAGATTTGACGCTAGGGGGGGTTTCTTGTTCCCCTTAATTTTCCCAAAAGTAGAAATGGGTCCGGGTCCGGTCCGGGTAGACAACATATTTCTTACTTGAATTACATTTGAGTCGCTTATTACGTATTAATGAGCGTTATTTTTGACATTTTGACGTTTATTTAATTGATTTGCACAGGTATTCTGGAGATTTAACATTTTACGTATTTATTTATTTTGATATGCAGTTTTTCTTGGTGGTGGAAATGGGAAATGTGGTAAAAATACAAGTTCCATAAGTGTATACACGATAATTCTCCATTTGTTGTAGCTAATTTCCACGAACAGTATTTTATAATCTATTTTTACAACTGTAGATAGGATTGCAGCGCGTCCACATACCAAACATGCCGTAAAAAGAAAGAAAGTGCTTTCCCAAAGTGAAACTCAGAGACTGCGGCCTGCGTTATATGTTCGCCAATGTGAAAATAACAATGTGTTGATGTTGTTTGCTTACATATGATGCAATATATTAATTTATATATTGTATTAAAAATAAGTATTTGTGTATTTATATATATTTTGTTTACATTGATGAACCTTATTTTTATTTTCCAATGTATTTTCTAAATTCATTAAATTAATATATAATCCAGCAAATGTTTGTCTGTTTATCGTTTTTATTCCTATTACACAAACTAAATGGATGCAGTACTAGGCTACACTTAAATAAAATGCACGAACATGTGTTTATATTCTCTTCAGGGAGGTAAAAGATAGAATTGACAAAAAAAGTTGGATATTAAAACCGAATAAAGAGAAAACAAACATTTATATATTAGGCTCATATAATGAGCTGCGGTAGTATTAGCAGTAACATCACTTTGCTTTTCCATTTTGTGTATACTTAGTATAATACAATCAATTTTAATTTGAGCATTATGAAAATAAATAAATAAATAAATAAATGTGAACGTCAATTATAAAGCAAAACAATCTGGACATTTTCAGTTACCAGTGAAATTCGTACAATGAACAGATGAGCTTCAAATTATAACGAAAAAAGTAATCTATTATATTTCAGAGTCATGTAGCATCATTAGAAAGGAGGGTAAATTATTAAACACATTACTGTAATAAACCCTAATATGATTATCGTGTCTTGTCCACATTGGTTATTGGAGAGAAAATTACAAATGCAATGCAAAAAAGAAAAGAAAAGATGCTACAAATAACAGTACAATTCCAATTAAAAATAAAACGTGCAGTGACACGAGTTCAGCCATTTAATTAATTGCATGACCCAAAACACAATGTAATTAGGCTACATGTGGATTTATATAAAAGCCTTTTTTCTGCACAATAATTAAACTGTGAGGGAGAAACCCATCTCTGGTTCTCACGTTAAAAGCCGCCATATTCTTGTTAAAACAACGTGAAATGTCACTGAGCCATTCGTATACATGGACGAGCGTCACAGCGGCCACAGTTTCATTTTCTCTTGTGACCATAAACACGAAGTTCCCTGTTTATGGTTAAGCTGCAGACACAGTGCAATAAGCTCTGCAGGCGTTTGGTTAATGGTTAATGAATGTGATGACCAAACACAGGACAAGTGATGCATTTCAAACAATTCCAGAGTTTTCGTTTTATGATGAATAAACACAGAACTAATGATGCAATTCAAATTATTTAAGAGGGATTTCTTTTCTATTTTTTTATTTACCATCGTGAAGGGATCGAAAAATGTGCCCTAATTCTAAATCGGATTTAATTACAGCAGGGGTGGGGAACCTTTTTCCTCTCAAGGGCCATTTCAATTTTTTCAACATCCTCCGAGGGCCGTACAAATTATTGACGTCTGCTTAAAAATACTAAAATCACAGCCCATTCATTTGGCCTTTCTTTCATGCTGTGCAAAGAAAAAGCAACCTCTTAATCCAGATATTTTACCATGACTTGCGCGTGCACGATTGTGGCATGACCACCAAAACAGAAAGATATAGACACAAGATGTGTGCAATTTAGTATCCTATCCATGTGAATATGATTTAAGTGGGGGGGAAGTGAAAAGCATCAATCTGGTGCACTTTGAGAGCAACATTAAGAGATCTATGGATACATCTCTCAACACCCATATGAAACAGAACTGTAAGCAGATTTCCTTTTTCTTTATGGATATTTTACAAATCACTCCCCTTTCAAACTGTATTCTTGTTTATTAATAACAACTTTTTTTTACTGTCATATAGTATTTTATACCTGTTTACTGTATTCTCTTATTTTTTGTATAACTATAATGATCATATAAAGATGTGCCTTTACCTCACTGGTTGGAGAAAAAGCTTCTTATATTCGTTAGCATAGCTAGCTAACCAGATGCTAATAACAACAGTTATTGACTTTATGATCAGTATGACAGATGAACAGATCGCCACTGGGCTTTCAGCTAAGACACAGCCACGCAAAACTGCGGCATGTGTACGGCTCCTTATGGGTACTGACATTTGTGATGTCCCGGCCCGGAGCGGCGTTCTGGTGCTCTGCTCTCCGGCAGCTCTAAACCCCTGTCGGACGAGACATATACCACGTGATGACAGGTTAGGCTCGTGTTGTGTTCAAGGACCCTGACCTTGGCCAGGAAAAACAGTTACTCGCTTGTTTAATTCTTTTGTGGTCTAGATTTCTTATTTTTTTTTCTTTTTTGCGTGAGTTATCTCGAGGGCCGTATCAAATTGTCTCGCGGGCCGTATACGGCCCGGGGGCCGGAGGTTCCCCACCCCTGAATTACAGGTTCAATATAAACACAATTGGACAGACAAATGCATGTTAAAATATCTTAAAATCCTTCTCAATAATTGTATTCCAATTCATTTTGGATATCTATCATTTTCTACATATTTGGCAATAAAAGTGCAATAATATTCTTATTTAATTCCAAGTATCGAGTGGTAAACAATTATAACACATGTTTTAAGTGTGATGAGGTATTCTTTAATAAGCATGTTAGAGGCTCACTGCAATACAACAGTATTTATTTCCTGATTTTTCATCTCACAGTAATCTTATATTGTTGGTGACATTTTTGTTTATGTTGTTATCATGGGAGTTTTTACGACGCTAATTCAATTACGAAATGTGTGTCATTCTGACACCCACAGGTAGGAAAATGAAACAGGTGTGCCCTACAGTATAAATGAGGTGCTGCAGCTCAGCTCAAACACTTCCACTAGCTACCAAGATAAATCACTATATTCTCCAGCAAACGTGTACCTTTTTAAAAATGCTCAACGGGATCTTCTTCGTGTGCCTGTCTCTCAGTCTGTGGACTTCAGGCTCCTCTCTGAGCTGCAGATGGATGCAGCATAAATTCCAGCAGTTCAGTCAAAACTCTTTGGATCTAATAGATACCATGGTAAGTGCATCTCTTTTGAATGTTCTTTAAATTAATCAATGATTGATTGATGATCATGAGTGTATTGTATTGTTTGTTTAATTCATGATGTGTGTGTTTGTGTGTGATGCAGGCTAACAACTCCACCAACACCACCAACACCACTGTGGATGCTGGAGTGGGCTTCCCTAACCATCTGTACAACCAGGCGTCCAAAGCATCAGTAAGTCAGCCTCAACTTTTTGAAAAAATATTAAAATAAAAACACATGTCCTGATATACCTTTATGAAAAAATGATGTTCAGTGAAACATGTTATTTGTTATTTTTAACCTGTGATTGATCTTCTTTCAGGCTGAGGACAAACTCAGTTTCACAGTCCAGATTCTGGATGAGATGGTGGTCCTGTTTGAAGAGGACAACAGCAAAGCATCATGGGAGGAGATAAGAGAGGAGAACTTCCTCCAGGTTGTAACCCAGGTGGCTGACGGCCTTCGCTCCTGTGTAAGTCTCACTGTGGATTGACATGTCTTACTTGTTCCATAAAAGCTCAAGCATCAGGTCTTTTTTACTTACATCCTGTTGATGAAAATGATCAAATAATAACTTTTTCATTCATTTAGATCGGGAGCCACAGCCACAAGAGGAAGCACAAGAAGATACAGATGTATTTCAAGAGACTGTCAAGCCATGTCCTGGAGCCAATGGTAAGTCCGCCTATGTATCAATCAATTAATCGAATCTATACATTCAACATGTTTTAATAATGATGATGTTCTTCTGTGTGCAGGACCACAGTGCTGAAGCCTGGGAGCTGATCAGGAAGGAGATGAAAACCCATCTTGTGAGAGCAGACCTGCTGTGTTCTTCTCTTCTCACCAACTAACATCTGTCAGACATGTGTTAATTTATTTACTTATTTTCTATTTGTTTATCTATTTATTTAAAATATATATTTATCTGATTATTGAGTTGTTTATGTATTTATAGATAATTCGAGCAGCATAAGAGCAGACAAGCTGGCCTTCTTTGTTCACCGAAAAATATCGATTAATCTATTTATTTATCTATATATTAACAAATCTATTTATTTAACTATTTGGTTATTTTTGTATTTATTTACAAAGCAGACCTGCTGGGTTCTTCTCTTCTCACCAACTAACATCTGTCAGACATTGATCTTGTGTTTAAAATGTATTTGCTTACATGCTATTTATTTAAATATTTATTTAAATATCTATTTATTTGATTGAGTTTTTTATTGGAGCTGCATGAGAACTTCATCTGCCCTCAACAGGTAAAATCCTTCTGTTATCTATTTATTTATGTATTGCTTATTTATTGAGTTTTGTACTCATGTATTTATTTATTGGTAAAGTAAATATGTTGTTGATCAATTATGTTAACTATTTATTCAAGTCTTGTCTGTTTTTTTTACCTGCAAAAGCCAATCAAAATAAAAGTCCTTTTCAAGCAACTTGACAAAGCTTTTATTGGTTTTCATTACATTCATATCTTATTATACACAAACACATTTCTGCACCTATTATCAAGCAGATATTAAAGTCAGAGTACTGTATGAAATAACACTTATTGTATTTATAAAAGCGTCTTAAAGCACCAACAAGAAGTCTGAATTGTAGAATGGCTCCTTTACACTTCACTGGACTTCAAACTACTAAATAGCATAAAATAAACAACACATATAGCAAGTCTTTTAGAATAAACATGCAGTTGCACACTTATAAACAAACTGGTACCGTAGAAAAATGACCGACCTCCACAAAGGGTTCTTAAAGTATCATTTGTACTTTATAAAGTTATTGTGAGGCGCTTCACTCCCATGGGGCCTCGGCTGAGTCGTCTCCGTCAGCCTGCGCGTACACAGAGAGTTCCTCGTACACACCTCCAGAACACGTCTCAATCACCAAGCCCTGAGAGACAGAAATAAGTCACTTTTAACACACTGAGCATGTATATGTGTGTGTATGTGTGTGCTAGTTTTGGGGAATCTTATGCCTATGTGTGGGTAGTGTACATTGGCTTTGATTTGCATAGACAGCCATTCAGACATGACTCAAAGATAAAGAAAAGCAGCTGCTAAAGGTTACAGAAGAGCAGTCAACATTCAAATATATTTAACATCTCTGCTCCTGACCAGAAATGCAGCTAATGATCGATGGACCTTTGGGCTGCATTTTTTATTATATTTTTCGGGGCCTTCTCTGTCATTCTGTCATTTTCAAACAGCATGTCACACCATTGTTTTTCTCCAAAAGACAAGCTTGTTTATGGGTTTCTTGAGTCAATGCCTCGAATGCCTCAATAATCCCCAAAAGTCTCAGAATCAATAACAGCTTTTGCAAAATGCTTGTACAAAAAAAGTCAATGGTGTTTTTAAAGTGTCTATCAAAATCTAATCTTTATAAATCTAGAAGCTCTGTTATAAAATACTCTAAACTTCATTCATGACTGCATGTATTACATTTGTAGGCATTCTATTGCTTCTTCTTTTCTTGTATGTTAAGCAATTTTTGTGTCAGAGGTGTTCTTCCTCTAGCCATAACATCTATATTCAAGCCACACGTGTTGAATTCCATATGTATTATTCTTAGAAAAAGCAAACTAAAGTTCAGACTACAGTATAGGCTATGTTAACAATACATTTAAAAAACAACCCTGGGAGCTTCATTGACTGAACCAGATACAAATGTGGTTATGAGCTCAGTGGTGAGAAGAGACTGAATGTGTGTATCTTGCACATTCACCTTTTATGTAAAATAAATCATGTTACAGTATCTAACCACTGAATGGCCTTGATTTGAACAGTTCTGGGCTGTAACTTGTGTAATCACTCAAAATAGTTAAAACAGTTATTGTATTTTTCAGCAAAAGGTTCTGCAATTTTTTGAACTTTCCTGAATGGTTATGTATCTCCAATGTTAAATAAACTATTAAAAAAGTTGTTTGGATCAGGTGCAAACTGCATCACCAAGTTGAAAACAGCTGGTTTGGTCAGAAAAACAAGGCAACGGTTTTAAACATTATGATAATCCAAGAGGTATATAGCAGCAGTAATATGAATCCAGAAAATCAAATATAATAATGAGTTTTATATCCAGGACTTTCATTTCACAGTTTGGTATTAAGGATCTGAATGCTCGATGACTATTAATATAACATTTCAATATTCAAACAAACCTCATAGATGTGGTCAACTTCAGGTTCCTCATATATACTGTCCTTCTTTTCCAACTGTTTAAAAAATAAAAAGACACACAAAAAATGAACATTTGAGTTACGACCAAAATATTATATATAACAAAAAATAATAAACATGCCAAGTGATCTAACATTAGATCAGGAAACATTCTAATCTTTTATTTGCTGCTTTAAAATAGATGTGTATTCTTTGAGTACACGTTACCTCTACATCAAGGGACCAAAAGCATTATAAAAAATGTCTGGAGAAAGTACATCAAAGTGTGTGCATGTGCTGGGGTCATTCCCATGGTCCTATGTTCCCCGGGTTATTGTTAAGAAATGGGCTAACTTTTGCGGCTCAAATAGCAAACAAATTAAGGGAGATGAACGTTTCAAATGCAGTTTGAATAGTTACATCCATTGAGCAACTGTGGAGATATCAATGTCTAAATTCAATACATTTAAGCCATAGGATTCAAATAGTATTACATCTGCAGCCTATAATCTGTAGGTGGGTGATATCAACACTTCGGCCCAGGGGAACAAACATTTGACATAGGGAAAGCTTTGGTGAGAACATAAAACCTTTTGAAATGTCTCCTGAATCTGTGATTTTAAGAACATATTGAACTGGGGAACATGGGACCCTAGGGTCATCATAGCGTTTGTTTCTATCATTAAGATAACAATTGAAGGATGTCATGACATTGGTCGTCCTTTTATCACAAAAACAAACCCCCTATCTATATATCTATCCATCTATCCATCTATCTATCTGGAATAACACTCTTCATAAACATGCCAAAAAGACTAAACATTCAGGGATTCTATCTTTTTAAATAAGAGAAACAAACAGACAATGTGAAGAAGACTGGATATCTGGGAACTTGTTAAAGATTAATTGATTAATCAGGAATATTATACAGATTTATGACCATAGTCAGTTGTAGTAGTCACAGGTACACCTGTCAACATACTGTGTCTATAGTCTTGTAGAAATCTGTTTAATTAAAAAAATCCAAAGATAGAAAGAATAAGCAGATAAACAAGCAGTTTGTCTGCTACTTTCTCGATGTTGTTATGCACATCAACAGCTGTTTGCCATTGTAACACATACAGCAGTGTCAATTGGTAAAGCAAATATATTGTTTAATGTTACAGTATGTGCATCTTGTTTCTCACCTGTTGGTGTTTGCGTAGCAGTACAGCAGCGATACACACAGCCAACAGCAGGCCCTGGAGGATGATGAGAGCATCCTTCATCTTGCTTCTCCTTGCCTGGTCAATACCACTAGATCCTATGAGAGGGAAGATTGCATCATTGCATCATGTGTCTGCATTCTGCACAACACATATTGTCCCAGATACTTACTGGCTACTTGGACTGCAGTTCCAGGTCCCCATTCATTATGTATCTTGCAGAAGTAAACCCCGCTGTTCTCCAAGCGCACATCATGGATGTCGAGAAAGACATTTGTGTTGCCAAGGTTGGGACGAAATGTATACTTCTCTACTGCCTTTATCCTGTTGCTTTCATTCACCACAGTGTCGTACTTATCCACTCTGTACCACTCTGCCTTGGCTGTCTGGAGCTCCTTGGAGCACAGACAGAAAATGCTCACATTGCGTCCGGCATTCACTCCATAGAACCGGGGCTTCTGGGAGATCGGCACGTCAGGGTTTAGGGCCACTGAGCAGGCAATAGAAGGATCAGGGTTAAGGTTAAGGTTACAGCAGCAGTTATTGTAAAACTCAAACACGGTGTAGGTATCAAAAGTGCCATTGCTTGCAGTGATGATAATATTGAATCAAAAGGGTTGCAGGTAATTTTATTATATATCAGTGAGTGTTTTTTAAATGTAATCCTTGATCCTAATTTAGTCAATCAAATGTCCAAAAAGGAAAAAAACACGAGTCCCCAGAGCCCAACACTGCTTATTTTAAACGAAATATAATAACTTTACGGAAACTTCAAAGAAGGGTTGTCAGTTCTCTGCTCTCATTGTAGAGACAGTGAGACAAGAAGACAACATTTGAGTTATTGCAAACCAACGATTCATTATAGGTCGGATCTGAACCAATAAATCACTCAATCGATTACAATTAATCAAATACAATTTTGATAATAATTTAGGCCATTCATCAAGAAAGAAATATGCTTATTCCAGCTTCTGAAATGTTCATTTGCTTTTATATAATTGTAAATGCCGGACGCAATGTGAGCATTTGATATTTTGAAAAAAGTCATCTTTGCTTCTGAGTACATTTGTTGTCCTTACTTCACAATTCAACAATCATTCTATTTGTCTAAAAAGTGAGATTACTCCTCAACAAAATAATAATAGTTGCAATCTTGGTACATGTAATCTAAGTCATCACCATCATGCAGTTAAATGGGTGTTTTGTATAAATAATGTAAGGACAAGGTGTAGGGTAACACGGTTAATGCATTTGTTAAACCATTCTAAATCTGCATGAATTTACATCAAACATTAGTCAATGTCAAGGGTAACACATATGCATCTAAAATAAAAAAACAGGTTTCAAATAAAGTTACTTGGTGGTCAGTTTTGGTGCGAGTATACTGTATATTAGAATAACAATTATTTGTCTCAGAAGACAACTTCCTCTTTTCACCAGATGGCCAGGAAGTAATGGTACAGTGGAGTCAAAAATAACATG